TTCAATGTTTAATTTTTTCTGGTTCTGGGTTATAATTATTTTCGGACTGGTGATATAATAGTTTTAGTGCTATCCGAGCTTAGTTCTCTGTGCATGCGACTGCTGTAATTTGCAGTAAATGTTGTAAAATGTCTGCCGTGTAATTTAATTAATAACAACAACAACAGTAACAGCTACAGCTAAAGCAGCAAAGCAACAAACAACAACAAAAAACGAGCAGTGAAAGTTTTGCAGTTATTAGTACGTTATAAAAATAGACTTTTATATAAAAGCAACAATGTGAGTGAATGAGACGCTAGCAGGAGGAAGGGGGAATGTCGCTTGGTGTGGCTTTTATGGTCGTGTTAGCAGCAGGCAAGAATTTTTTATTATGAGAAATGTCAACTAGTTGAGCTAGGTGAGGTCCCACACAAGCCCAAACTCAACGAGGGTAATCTTAATTTTTTGTTGCCAGTTGCTAATTTAGAAGTCATATATCAACGGGGTGCAGCAGCAATTCATAAAGTCATGATATCAAGCGACAGTTCAGGGGAGTTGTTTTCCTTTTTATGGGCCCAAATGCAAATGATACTGTTAGTGGAACAGGAAAACGTATGGCATGAAGAAAATGCTTTAAAATTTATTTAATATTTGCGATTCCTGAAGTTATTTAGTCATTACTTAGTTGAAGGATCACGAAAACCATAGAAGAGAAAACAAGCAAGAAGAGCAAGAGAAAAGAGAATAAGGAAGTGACAAGGTGAAAAATTGCAAAAGAGATAGCAGATGAGCTTCCAATAATAAGAGGAAAAAGTAAGAAAAAAAGAAAGAAAAGTTAATTATGAGAACCGATTGTCAGAGTTACCATAAATGATATATAACTACTACATATCTAGTTTTTTCTGCAGTATCGCGAAAATTGTGATAAATCGACGAAAATTCTAGGCACTTGAATAATTCTTGATAATTTTTTTAATACCTGGGTAAATCACAATAAAAGCAATAAATGATCTTCAGACCATTTCGAATTATCGGGACTCGACTCTACATAAAAAAAGTGTTGCCACCTGGTAGCTCATAAATGGCAGCACCTCAACACGTTTCTCAAACAAAGCTGGCAAGTCAATTGTGAACTATAGTACCTGGCGTTCCCACCCAGGTTTACTTCAAAGATAGGAAACATCTATAAAATATGGCTAGTCTCACGACCAGGCTGAACTTTTTTTTTGCCATATCATTGAACTTCTTAATGCCATATCAGTTAAACGACAAATGCGCTTAGTTTTTCTTTCACTGTTGCCAATCGAAATCGAAATCAGAAAATTAAGGCAATTACAGTTAAATATTTAAATACAGTCCAGATTACATGCATTTAAGATGATCGCATGCTTACATTGTATGCTCGCCCAGCCAAAGCATATCTCAAAGCCTGCACCTTCAAGCCCAAAAATTTCCCACTTTGCATGTTTGGGGTCTGTTGCATTCGCTGGCTACGTGCAGAAAATAACACGGCGATAATATTAAATTGCTGTCAACAAGAAAATATGTTGGTAAGTTTTGCAATTGTTGTACTTTTCTGTTTTTTTTTTTTTTTTCTTTCAATTGATTTTCTGTCAGCGGTGCAAAACACTTTTCCACTTTTCTAATTTTCCATAGTTCCAAGTGTTGATATGTGTTATATGGTAGTTTCTTATCAACAATGCAGTCTATTAGTCTATGCACAAATGACGTACGAACATGCACAGAGGCAAACAAATAATAATCAACGCGCCAACATCAAAGGCGAAACAATTTTCCCAAGTTTTTCCTGTAATTGCCAACATGCGCGCCAGGACCATAAAGGAAAACACTAAACCTAAACTTCGTTGTTGTTGTTGGTGTTGTTGTTCGGGGCGCCAAACTATTAACCGTATAGCAGTAAAAATTTGTTAATGCCTTTGTCTAAACATGTGCGTTGGCAGGTGCCTAAAATTCATAGACTCCAGGTCCACCTTGACAGTTGGGCCAGCAGCTGAGAGCCTCCCAGACCAGCGAGAGCGAAAGGAAAAGGGGTTAAATGTGTTTATTTGTTTATGGGGCGCCCCCCGTTGCCAGCCGAAAGACGACAAACAAAATATAGCCAAAGAGTGAAACAAAAAGGGTTAGGCTATAGTTAGTTGATGCCCCAGTGCGTTTGACTAATGTCTCATTTGCATGCCAAAAGCAGTTAACAAGTCTGAACAGCGCCGAGCGCAGAGCGCAGAGCCGCCAAAAATTATGCCTTGCCTTGCTTTTAAAAACAACTTAGTGGATAATACACCCCTAGTGTTAAGCCGGAGCTACCCATCCATACAGACAACCAAGAGGAGCAGAAGCAGCAACAGCAACAGCAACAACAACAACAACAACAACAGCGACACATTCATTTCCTTCTTGGCGCGCCTCAAGTGTTGTCACCTGTCATAATAAGTGCGGAAACAGCAAACGGACCCAAAGAAGACCCAACAAACTGCAAAGCAAATACGACTATGGCAAAA